TGTGCGAGGAGGAATTCGAAAACAATAGCCAGCACAAGAATTTTGCACCCGCTGAATCAGTTTTTTCGAGCTTTTTTTGAGACAGCCACTATACACCGTGATGCAATAGTTCAGTCTAGATAATACCAGTGCCTCACAGAGCCGAACTCTCAGATCCTGGCTGCTATAAGATCCAAAATTGTACAGAACATTGAGGCGATAGAAGCAAGAGCGTGTGACGTCCAATACGTGTTTCTCAAAGCGCAGCTCACTATCCATTCGCAATCCAAGATTCCTAGCTGAGCTGACTCTTTCTATAGCCACACCTCCTATAACAATCTATGGGTCAGCACTAATAATCTGTTACACCTGACTACGGGCGGGAGCCTAGTATCAAATATTTTAGAGGCCGTTAGAAGAACACCAAGCAGAAATACAACTCAGATCATCATTTAACCCAGCAACCATAGCGTTCAAGTCATCAGCATTGCCTGAAAGGTTAATTTGTAAATCGTCAGCATATAAGTGAAACCGGCAATTCAAAATATATTTAGCCAAATCACTGTTGTACAAAATGAAAAGTAAAGGTCCAAGAATGGAGCCTTGCGGGACGCCTTTCCGGATTGTCTTGAGGCCTGATTCAATGTTGGTACCATCAGAGTTTTGTATGACTATATTTTGATAACGTCCATTGTTATTATTATTATAAAATTATTATTATTATATTATTATTAGCAATACTTGAATAAAAAATATCGATTAATCGTGTCACTTTCTACCGCGTCATTGAAAAATATTTATTTTAACATATTTGTTTTTAGCTTTTGATGGCTTCTTAGGCTTTATTAAAATAAACACGGCTCAGTATAGTCGTTCCGCCGTTCTGAAGAGTGATTGACTGACCATGCTGAGATAACTCAATCCGACGTTACCATTCTTCAAATTCGAGAACCCCTCAAACTTAGTCAGTTCTAGTCGCAGAATTCTAATGCCACGCAAATGGGAACGGAATATATTGTGGCATCGTAGGATTTACTATTTTTAATAAATTATTATTATAAACGTAACGTAAGTAAAATTAAATTATGTGATACATTTTATATTCATCAGTCAATAGTAGAATGACTAAACAAGTATGGTTACTTGGTAACGAGTACACGTCAATTATTTTTTAAATCCCGGACTACAGGGAAGCGCTACCTACATAAGTATTACAGGCAACACGTGCGCTTTGCTGAACATGCTCTCTTCACTATGCAATGAAACCATTGTAAACTTGGGATATCAATATGATCCATTCTATCGAAAAACCACTTTGAGAATAAATCTTTTATTGATATGCTCTAGTAAAAGAATAGCCGGAAAATTGAGCGTTGAAAGACGAGCACCTAATAGGCAACTTACTCGATAATACTTTGCATAAATATGGGCGGGTTCTTGAAGGCAAGTATTAATAATAATCAACGTTATGTGTACATAATAAGTAAATTACCGTAAATCGACATATTTACCCCTAAACGTTGTCATGCTGGCTGACGGCAACGCGGAATTTAGCATTTCAATTACGCTTTTTTTTACAAGAAAAGAATGCCAATACAAAGTCGCAGACAAAGAATTAAGAAAAATGTTTTAGCTTTTAGATGTTTTTCGTAAATAGTGTAGTTCATACTCAGTTGACACGTGGTCTGTACTACCCATCTAATAATTGAAAGCCACTGCTCACCACGTACCTTGCACGCCTGCGTACTTACCTACACGTGTGAAACATTTCAAATTACTTTTTTAAATTGTATGAAACGCTCATAAACTAAATAGATCTGTAAAGGGCCCGAAAGCTTGCTTTGTTGCAAAAAAAAGAAGGAAACAAATATACCCCATTTACGTCCGAAAAAATACTTTGGTTTCAAGTTCATTTCCAATGTGCAGCAATCGCAAACATCTAAGAACTCGATTTTAATAAAGTTATTAGGGAAGCCCATTGATTACTCACGTCCGTCGAAGCGACTTGCGCGTGGTTGACGTCGCGAGCCAACAAATACGCCGCGATTGTCACGTTCCGCACACAATTACCCGCCGCAGATCCATTGACCACTTGACCACTCACGATTTACCCAATAGCGCTCAATTCCACAGATAAGATATCATATGGAGCCAAGTTGATTAAAAGTCGATTTTCAGGCAGTTGTAAACTCATTATAAACTCAAAATTATGCAACGCTGGCTTTATGCGTCTATTGAATGGACTGTGTTCTCTATATATGTAATGTCAATCAATTAGCTATTCAATTATTTTTGTGGCCTTCGATATGGTTGTGGTCGTGTTCGTTTTCGTCTATGCGATGTATATTCATTGATTGATTTCTCCTGACCGTTTTCGGCCACCACAACTGCTTCAGATCCGCTGTTGGTGACGCTCTCACGTAGCTCACGTACCCAATCTTATTAGTAAAGATCCGTGCGCACAGGGGGCACGTGAGCACACCGTCAATGTAATGGTAGCTGGTCACCGCACGGGGTCGGGCTTTCAGTTCGTCACGTCGGGCGTCCAACTCAATTCGTCCACGAGTCTCAAATTGTGACGTTTTGTTTGCCACAAAAGATCTCCATTGCGGGCGATCAGCTGCTTGTTTCTCCAACTCTGTTGGGTCAATGTCGGAATTTTTCATGATGTATACTATATGACCACCAGTCACTACGTTGCATTCTGAAGAATTTTCTTCTTTGGAGGGATTAAACTCCTCCTGCCTCTACTTTATATGAATATCTACAGCACGAAATTAATTCACTTGTTTGTACACCTACATACTTTGCACCCAATGGTTTTCGTTTTGAATAACTAAGAAGTTTAGAGTGGTGCGTCAGACAGGAAGCAAAGCAAAGGTCGTAGATGTTGTAGATGACCTATGTATGTCTACGTCGAAGGTGGCAACGCAGCGCGGCGCGATGTTCTGATAAAAGGGAATCGCGTTTCAAGGCCAGAGTCTATCGCAGCGTTGCGGTGCGCAGGCAAAGGCGTACGCGCTGACGTCTGAGACATTATTTAGTATTTGTTTGGGAGGAAAAAACTTTTCAAAATTCAGTCATAAGAATGAACGTCGCGTTGACCTACGCGTTATTATGTTGCACAGTTTGAAAGTCAAATAAACAATTAATCTTTGTTTCATTGGTAAATTACACTTAAAATCGTCATATTGATTAAACTCTATTGTACATTCGTAAGGCGAATTCTTCTGAGAAGAATGAGCAAGAAACTCTAAGGGTTGCTAATTGTGAATAAACATTTGTACACGTTTATCATTTACAATGTTTATTTCAAATATCTAGAATACCCGCAAGAGCTAAACCTGTCATCCAAGTAGGTACACAGATGCTGTAAATAACCTTATAGTATAAAGATTCACTTTAATTTTTAACTCGTAAAACGCAAAATTTAAATATCACCCGGAATTTTATTATAGAAGCGTATATGAATTTGTGACTTTTTTCCTTTATTATTTAATGCTCAGGAAAAAACACAGAATACATTTAATGAAAGGAAAACACGAACAAAAGGTTCTGCTAATTTCTATAAGAAATTTCTTTCCTGCAGACCTAAATACAGGACAAAATAACTATGACAACGGGCTTACGTGCACAAAAAACAAAATCATGTAATACAATATTAATAACATTAAACTATTACAAACTAGAAAAATACTTAGACAAATACATATTTCATAATATAATACTTATGAAATGGATGGAACAGTAGATAAATAATGCTCCTGAACTCTCATTTTAAAAGTAGCTAACGATGTACAACAGAAATAGGAAGTGCGTTCCAAAGTCTGACCGCATGAACAGTGAAGGAGTGAGAATAAAAACCTGAATCGAAGGAAGGAAAAGATAACTAGAACCTAACGAGAGAGCGACAGGGTTTGTCTTGAGACCTGAGGAAGCTGAAACGCTTTCTTAGATATTCGGGAGACGAAGGGTTATGAAGAATATTGTAGAGAACAGAGACTGAATGAAGAGAGAGAATGGGACTTTGTGAAGGCGACTAATTAAATTTTATACCATTTATAAGATCAGCCAGTTTATTTTTATTCCTCGTATTAATGTTATATTTGTCACTATTTTTTATAAAAATAAATTACTATTCTTCTTAACATAAATAACATTTTCATAAATCTACTGTGACGTTGTAAGAATGGTAATTTCTTTAAACTCATCTCTCACTAACACTCTGGGGTCTCGATTGTAAGTTGCTCTATAATATCGGCGACATTACCCTAAAGCAAATTGCCGCATGTCGTTAAACTGTGAAAGTTGCTGAAGTGAACATTGTAGCAGTTTCTGAATGTTTTCGTATTTTTTAATCGCGTACACTACAGAGCTAAGCAATTTCGATAACGCGAGTTAAGCTCTTTCGGAGAGCTTTCATAGAAAAATATAATTTTTTAGTAAAAGAAAAGTTTATTTTAATTCACAATTTTAGTACATGTTATTACTGTCTTAATCTTAATACTAAGTGTCAGGATGCACCAATGCTCCGGCGCAGAGCGCGATATCGGACAGGAAATGCAACCTCATGTCTGGACTCTATGGCGTCGAGGCATTGATGCAGGCCAGGCTTACTAAGAACTAGCTAGAGCTTACATAACACGTTTGCACGTTGCTTGTCTGTGGACCCGACTCTTCGACTTGAAACTAATCTACTACTTTAGATATAGCATGTTCCCATAGTCATAGAATATTTGGAGATTTTTAACTTTTTAAAATAATAAGGACGTATCATCAGCGAACCATATGGTACTCATACTACTAAGACCGTTCTACACCCTCCACGAGGCTATTAAAAATGGACCTAGATTGAACCACGAGAGACGCCCGTGCTAATCGAAGACCCCGACGTTCACGTTGCTTCATGCTTACCTCGATGCCCTTAGTTGTTTAACAATGTCATCTTGGCGAGTCGACGTCTCCTCCCAGAGGTCGGCCGCGGTCCAGGTAACACGGAGCGCGTCCGTCGTTCGTTGCAGCACGCGCTGAGCCGAGTGGGCGGCGTGATCTTCTGCGAGGCGTCGCAGCGCTGGGCGGGCGAGGCGGCCGAGCTGGCGGCGCTGTGGGCGCGCGCCGCGGGCGCCGCGCAGGGCGTGCTGGCGTGGCCGCGGCGCGCCGCCGCCGTCACCTCGCTCACGCACCCGCGCATGTTCCACTACCTCAACGCCGTGCTCGACGACTTCCTCTTCGTGGAGATGGTGGACGCGGAGCACCTGGTCGTGGCGGACTCGCCCGCCGCCGCCGCCGTCATGCGCCCCTGGATCCGGTGCGCGCTGACACTCGACTGCATCATGCCCATAGGTGCGCGTGCGCTCTTCCTCGCCGTGCGCGATGCGACGTCCCGTTTGCCCCGATCTAAGCCAGTCCGTCGGTCGACAGGCGCGCAGGCGGAGGGCTGCCGGTTCGACAAGAAGCCGCAGTACCGCTACTCGGGCTGCCACGGGCAGGACGCGTCGGCGCTGAGCATCATCCTGGGGCTGCGCTCGGGCTTCGAGGAGGCGCAGTACGCCGTGCACGGGCGCGCGCGCTGGCGCCGCGTGCCGCCCGCCGCCGCCCGCCTGGAGCTCCAGCAGCTGGAGCGCAACTCCAGCGACGAGCGCCCCACCGACCACCCCCCCGCCCTCCCCTAGCCGCGGGCCGGCCCCGTCGCTTCTTTCGTCGTCGCGAGCGGAGCGGAGGACGTCGCGCTACTTAGTGTTATTCAAAATAGCAATAATTCCTTTGCACGCCTGTTTTAACGGAGCCCGTTTTTTGTTTTCAAAATGTGTAAAGACTCGTGCGCGCCTGCTGCGGCCGCGGGTCCCGGGCGCCGGTCTCCTCGATGTGTTCCGCCGTGCGCCGCTCTCCGGTGCGTTCACGTATAGAATAATTCAATAAATAACTACAGGTTTGGATGAGATTTTAAAAACGTTGTTTAGTGTTTATTTGTACTCTGTAGTAAATCACGTTTCTTCTTATGCATCCTTGTAGTTATTGAATTATTAATTGATAGACATTAATACAGTTCTCGTGATAAGTAGTCCGAGTGAAACCTTGAAGTTGTGTTTGTAGAAAGTTATTTCTCAATATTTTTAATTTATCGACAATACACCAGTCAGGAAACACATTAACTGACGAATAAAGTAAGGAACAAAGCTTGTACTTACGACGTATTGTTAGTGGTGCCTAGAGTATTACACTGTTTGTATTCGTTAGGTTGTTTTAAGAGAGCACATTCGATGTCAATTGCTGAAAAAGACGGGTGCGATCGTTCGCGATAATGTATTATTTTGTACATATGTACAGTGTGTCATTATTTTTGTATTAGGTATGTTGAACGTGTTGCGTACGGTAGTGGAACGAGCTGACGACGTTCGCTCTGCGCCGCGCATTCGACAATGTAAGCGATTGCGTTAATGATGTTAAGATACTCATTAGGTGCAGTAATTATGTGTAAGTTTCCCGCATGTCCGTTACATTAGTTAGCGAAAGAAGACCCGTCTCACTCTCGTTCACCTGCATAACACAGTGGCGGGGTCGGATGCACCGCAGCGCGGGTAGCCGCGCACAGCGGCCCGCTAATGTTTAGGTTGTGATCAAAAAATATCAAGTTTCGTGCACTATTTCGTGAAGTACAATGTGATATACTTAATACATTATGTATTTTAGGATTAATTCGTGTACAGGCGGTTAAATACTTTGGATTTGGGGAACAACTGGTGGAGGGTAACGGGACACAGCACTTAGGAGCTGTCAACAGAAGTGAGCTATGGCCCTGCAGCGGCCGTTCACACGTTGATCTGCAGGTCGCGGTGTCTGTTCTCTGTGTAGTTTCAGTTCGTCTGATTTAAAGGATCTCATTTATACTAAAACTGCAACTTTCGACCAAACTGTTAAATTTTATTGTAATGGTTACGCTAAGCGTTTTGATATGGCGGCCGCGGCCGTTTTTACCTTACGTCACCTTTCCCAGTGTTTAGAAAGCTTTATTTTTCGACGTTGACGTTGGTTCTCCGCCTGTTTCGGCCATAATGTAAACTAAGTGTTAGTTGTACGCATCGCATTACCTTTAAATTTTTATATTCACTTTGAGCAATCTAGTCGTGATTTACCAAATAAGTGAAAAAGGCTCTTGTATGGCGACCGTTTTTGCTAAGATACTTTGTAAATTTTGTCTTAAGGTGCGGAAAGATTTATTGAATTTGTCGAGTTCTAGTAGGTGACCACTTGTTTTGTTAAGGCATACCACGTAAAAGGTGAACAATGTGGTAATTATGAATAGTACAAATTCCGTGATTTTGCGGGATGTAGCGCAGGTAACTTTCCGAATTGATAAGGTTTATTGACGATAGGATAATTGCGATAGAGTTCCGTTTGTGCGCATGCGGCAGCGTCCTGGTGGTCGGACTGCATGCGTTATTCACTACAATAGGTACCTAGTAAGAAGGAGGCGCGGTGCAAGTCGGCACTAACGCCAGTTAACGTCTTCGTTCTGACGCCGCCGCCGTTAGTATTATGCACTGTAATCATCTGAATGATGTCAACACGGTGCCGTACATAAAAAAAATAATCAGGACGTGACATTGGTGCCGACTTGTGCCGTGTGTCCGTCACACGCGAGAGGCTTGCGACTAGCCCCGTCGCCCGTCGCGACTCGATCGATGCTTACGCATAATGTAATCGTTATCGACAAGTGAGAATTATTTATTAAACGATGATTGTGATGAAATTATGTCAGAGTTTCATTTTATTTATTTATAAGAGATAAGAAAAGACAGACCTTATATTTGACCATCGCCATGCCAATTAAACGAAGCACTTAAATGTTTGACTGCCTCCGTGGCCGAACGGTTACCATGCCGGACTGCCACGCAGAGGCCCCAGGTTCGATTCCCGGGCCGGGAGAAATATTTGTATGGCCTACATTTATTTCTCACGTGAGTTGGGTGTAATTTGTGGTTGTCAATGTGTGTGTCCATGGCACCCGCGACATAGGGTTTCCCCAGTGCGGGGCTATGTTGAGTGTATGCGTTATTATTATTATGTATATTATGTACATTTGACGTCAAAAGTTAATACAAGAGCAAGTGAATCGTTTCAGGTTCCAAGAGGAACTTGTAAGCGTTTACACAATAGACGAGCCCGGCGCGTGGTCGGGTTAAGTTCACGGGGTGTGCTCATGCTCTTCGGTGACACAGCAGTTAGTACTATGAGCGCTTGATGAGGAGGTCGATTCCCGATTTGGGCCAATTTAAGAAACGAACATTTCTAAGTTGGTTTGGGTCTGAGTATTCTGGGTTATCGTTGTTTTGGTATTCATAGTACAGGAAATTCGGCAGTAGTTTGGCATTTTTCCCCCTAAATACTTCTCTTTGGCATCGCTTTCAAGAAAATGGAATCTAACAGAGAGACGGTTGAGATACAACAACCCTATAATAAGTATCTCATTTCCCTCTATCGGGAAGTATGCCTTACATCGGCCAGGGTGTACCTACCTCATAAAAATGCAGAAATATTCCCTGCATATATTCACCTCCTCAGTCCTGGGTCATATTTTGTAAATATTTCTTGAAAACGGAAGTAAATATGGACATGGCCCATATTTTAAGAAAGTTAAGATTATTAGAAATAGTCATCAAGCATAGAATCACTTTGCAAGTTGGGCATTGATGTCTGGCCTTAATAGATTTTCACCCTGGTAATCTGCATCGGTTTTGGAACTCGAGAACAAGAGGTAGGTGGTCTACCTTTTTAGTCCTGATAAAATCCGTCGGATGCTCTGTTCTAGCCCGCTTGCTTTGTCTTGTAATAGTAACAGCATCATCAGGAGGACATCCTCAATTTCGTCTTCATTTTCGAGTAAATACTCTCCTATTGTCTCACGGAAACCCAAACAATTTTGTTAATATAGAACAAGTGAAACATACAAAATGCATCTTAAATACCTGCATAAACTCTACAGTTTCCCAAAAAATTATACCGTAGTTTATGGCCGACTGTATATACCCAAAATAAGCTGTTAAAGCCGCATCCACTGACGAATTCTGTACTAATTTTCGCAATGGGTACATAAACCGAGACAGTTTCTTACCTTGTTCTATATTAACAAAATTAAAAGAAATGTTTAAGTCGATCGGTAATCTTTTAGACGAGTGAAATTGCATGATGTTAGTTTTTGCCAGATTTATCAAGGCATTATTTAGCAAGGTAGGTCTGATTACTATGGAATGCAATTCGCTCGTAAATATCGCTAGGTATGTACTTAGTAAAATAATCATATGGTGGCAAGTTTATTACTACTCTCTCTGGCTCTTCGAAGTTTGGGGTTTGTGGCAATGGTTCAGAAACATTTGTACTTTTCCAAAACACGCGTCGTTGGGAAATGGTACCCACTGCTGGAAGCTGAACCTGTGAAGACTGGTTGGGTCGTAAAACCTCGCCGTTACATTTCACGTCTTCCTCTTCTGAACCATTTCCTGAACTCTCACCTTCATCGTCTTCACCTGTAGCTTCAGGAAGATCCACCGATCTTCTGTAACATCTTCATCCCCGATGTCGATTTCCAAGTCAGAATCATCGCCGTTGATGATATCACTTAAGGCCTCGCTTAGGGCTGATTCTGAAAATGATCGAGTTTACGTTCATCAAACATGCGAAATATACAAATAAATACACGAAGGATGGTTGAAATGCAGAATAGGGCGTGAAAAAGTGTATTACGAAAATATATGGAATAATTCATCAATTTTTGTAAGAAGGGGACAAACGCGTTCGTATGGGTGCGTGAACCTAGATACAACTTACACGAAAACTTTTTTGGTCCAAATACATAGTAAAACTATTCAAAAATAAGACACGCATATTTGTTTTTATGAAAAACATTAATTAATACACAAATCTAGTACTTACTGAAATATCCCCTAGTTCGCCACTATACAGGACTTGACACTGGAGATAATAAAAATCGGTTCTCACTACTCAAAGTATATCGAGAGAAAAACGCCTTGAATTGGAGAAATAGCAAAATTAACCATTAAAGTAATTGCTCCTAAGTTAACGTTAGGCGCTATTTATAAAAATGAATCTTCATGCGTGAACGGCCACCCTTCGAGATGGATGATTTTCTTCAAAACGAAATGGGACCACTACGTAAGTACCCCCATTCCAATAAAAAAAGAATCATGAAAATCGGTTCACAAATACCGGAGTTATCGCGTAACATACATACAAAAAAAAGGAACATACAGTCGAATTGGAACCTCCTCCTTTTTTGAAGTCGGTTAATAACGGCGACAGCGATTGAATAAAAATCTAAGTGAGCGGTAGCGTAATTTATCGCAGGACTGATAAATCACTAACAATCGATATTAACGAGCTAATACAGATAATTCCCGCGGTTTTAACAAATGGCGTTGTATGTACCCATATGAGGACATTTGGTTTGAGGAGGATTATAGTCTTTGCAGGCCGTTGATCACTCTTTCATATTTTCCATATTCAGGTCCTCTCATATTTGATTCTTTGCTTTGGAGCCTATCCGCGTACAACGGTATAAATATCTTTTTTCCACCATATCCGGAAGTATGCGTTATTTTTGTATCGGTAAGTAAGAACTTATAGCTTTATATATATAATGATCAATGATCACCAAGAAAACAAACGTCTCGAGAACTGTTCTTTAGGAGCAAGAAAAACCAAAAGAAACAAAAATCTTGAAACGTAAATATTCATTGAAATAATCACAAAGTCAATAATTATAAAACAAATAATTTTATCAACGATATACATCTGTAGTTTGCAGTCTATGCTACACACGCTGCACTGCGCACTGCCTCGTACACATATACCAGTTCAATTTACATTCATTTATGTACCGAAAAAAAGTTATTGTACATCAATACTGTTTTATTGCTAAGTTCATAAAGTCTATTATTCAGCATAAAATTTGTTAGCTTACAATGATATAAAGATTTTATGTACATACTATAGTTTGTACTAAACCACGATAATAACCAAATAATTATTTACATTATACAAAAAGTCGATTACACTGATCATTGACTAGATGTTATTCCGCTTCGATAAATGCTCAACAATACGCATCAGTTCAGGAAAATAGAAATATAATGAGTCTAAGATGGGTAAGTATTCACAAAAAATCTCCCTACAAAAATAATTATCTACTTGCACATTACAAATCACTTGTGCCCGTTCTGTATTTAACGAACTTTGGTCAAAACAATGCGACTGATGCCAGAGCTGCCAGCGGCAAGGTCGAGTTGACTACAGGGACAGTCAACTGTGGTATAGTATGTTAGTAATTAGTTATAGTTAAGTATATTATGTAGTGAAAGGTGTAAGGTTAGGTTAGTTAGTAATAAATGTATCGTCGAGAAGTACACTCGTTTCCATTTCGTCTGCAATCTTCCCTACTCCCCCCTCGCCTCACCTCATGGCGACCCTGCCAGCGCCCTGCGAGCGCGAGTGTTTTGCGTACGTTGTATTTTTAAAGTAAAATAAACTTTTGTCCGGACAACACACGTCCTCGTTGCAAAATGGGGAAACAATGTTCAAAGTGCATTTGCGACAATAAGGAAGCAGTGATAAATCAACACGGAGCTACAAACGAATCCGAGGCTCAAACTTCAACACATGTTGGTGTGAACAACGTGCTCCTGTCGGTGATTCTAATAGTCGGCGCTATGTGGTGTTGCAACCCTATTTCTGATATATAGGCAATATAATAATTGCCACAAGAAAATAATTCGAAATGAACTGAGAGAGAATACCTTTCAAAGAATCCGTCTGAGACTGTCAGGGCGCGGGACCGCCCCGATGATCGAGATGATATGATCGAGATGATGACAACGAAGTTCCAGCTTGAGGGAATGCTGGCTGCTGTGTAATCTAACCTCGACGGTATAGTATTAAGTAAGTCAACGTACTATATTATTAAGCTTAAAAATAAATATATAAAATAAAATGAATAAATAATAGTTATAGTATTCAGTAAGGAGGAGGAGTTATTAGCCGGAGTTGTTCGCGTCCGTAGGCTGTGACTCTAGATTCCCTACACGTGACTCCAGGGTAGTGCCAAATGAACAACTGATTGCTTAAGATCTCAAGTTTTGAGGCTTTACGATGGTCTCATGTAATATCCAAATATCGCCTAGCTTGGTGGCAGAGCCCTCATAGGACTCGACTGGTTAGCGACCACACTCGCGTCGAAATCTGTCGCAAAGCACCTTTGTTCCGACTGTGCGCGCGAGTACCAGCTCCTCCCTCCCGATTGCCACAGTCTCACCAGTTCTCGGCTCGCATGGTCCTGTACCCCTGCTCTGCTGCGCTGAGCGTGCCGCTTTGACGTGGGGGCCAAGGAGACCCGGTGAAACGGTTGTCCGCTGGCCCTCCGCTGGTACATAGAGGACCCGAACCCGGGCTTGAAATAAAAGTCTATGAGTTGGTCTTCGTGCCGGACTGGGACCCCGGAGTGGAACCCGTCGGCCAAACTTAGGTTGGACCAGGGGTTCCGTCCCCCACGCAAGGGAGGCGCTACATTTGGTGTTCCAGGGTGGAATATGGTCTATTTTTTACCCAAGTACCTGTTGAGATTGCGGCAATCCACTTCACCCTCCCTCTACATGTTTCTATTTATGGCTGCTAAAAAAAATTGAAAAAAGGTTCTACCGCGGCGCCCTGTTCCACTTTAAATGTGGACTTTTGCAACATCAGGGGACTTTACTCTAACTTGAATGACGTTCATCACCATCTCGAGACGTCCAAGCCGGCCTTATTTTTCCTGACTGAGACGCAGATATCTTCACCGTCTGACGTATCGTACCTCATGTACCCCGGATAC